GATTCACCAAGGGATGTAATTACGTATAGGTCATAATGTTAATCGCTACAATTATATAGATGTGTTCTTAAACATTGAAATTCCTGCTAAAATTTATCTTATAACCCATGATAGTCAGCATTCCCTGCAGTTAGTATGATTTTGTATTCGGTTTTAAGAAGCACCAACACTGTAAAGATATCCAAACTTTCCAGCTTTACTGGTGAAGGAAGAAATTAGGTGCACATACGTGCATTATTTTGGGCACGAACAGGTACCTGAGTAGAACTAGAGACATTTTGTAAGCTAGCTAGATAGCTTCCTCTTGTGAAAGAATTGATAGTCATATCCACAGCGGTTAGGGGCAAATGGTTTGAATTCAACGACTGAAACCACGACTCTGCCATGGACGTCCCAGCGGATAAAATTGCTCGGTGATTATATATGCATACATGTGACATCCCGGCGGGATTTTAAAAAATCCCGATATTTCAACACTGATCCCGATTCCCGATATTACAGCTTGAATTCCCGATATTTAAAAAAAAATCAACATAAAAAAAATCAAACACAGCACCTGTATCTAAAATGTAATCCGTGCCTCCGGGCATTGATTGTTATCTGTCCATATCCTAAATTATAGCGGATAAAATGTTGAGTCGCTAATTGACAGCAAGGTGACGTAATAAACAGTTCCAATACCCAGTTATTCTCACATGTTTAACTTATCACGTGTCGTGTGTCAGTCAATTGACCTCTTTTGTAAATTGGCAGTAGGTATTACACGCTACGTCATCAAAACTACCCTGTAAATTTACATGTATGAATTCGGCTCAACCTTTGATTTTCTTTGATTAGTGCCGCACTGATAAAGATAAAAGGTGAGCAGAATCATTTAAAGTGGATCATTCAAAACCTGTTTGAGCTGTCTAATTAACCTATTTTTAGTGAGTGGGTAATTTTTTGTTTTGTTTAGGAATTACACTATCATCGAGGCAAAAATGTGGATTTAATTAACGGAACGATTCTTGCATTTATTTTGAGTCTTCTACTTATGTTACGTTAGTCTTATGTTCATGAATAGTTGTTGCACGTTTTCAAATAGCTTGTGTTTAATTATTGAATGACTGAAAAGACATATAATTCTTCAAACTGAAAATAATGAAATGTGAAAGTGTGACTGTTTTAGAAATATCGATCAACAAAAAATCCTAAAAAGTATAATCATTTAATGATTTTGAGGGTAATATTGATTCTTTGAACCAAATATCCCAAACAGGCATTGAAATTCGAGTCGATAAAAAATCCAGTTTTGAGCCTCAAAATCCAGCTGAAAATCCAGATTTGGCCCATTTCATTTGTCACATGTATGTATATGTGAACCTTCAGCAGTTTGACTGCTACGAATAAACAGAATAAAATCCCTCCCCCAAAAGAAAATAAAAATGATATTATTATAAGCAGACATGAGAGATTTAATAAATTCACTTAATAAATGATAAATTTTAACCTTAAACGTCTTTAAAATAAATTATTGTTCGTTTTGTTAGATTATGATTTCTCATTTTGAATGTTCAAAATTTAATTCTAATACGATAAACTAATATCAGTATCAACTTATATAATTCTAGTCAAAGACTCCTTTTTAACCTTGCAAGAGCCAAAAGAAAATATATTATGTAAGTCACTAAAGTATTACCATGAACACTAAAGCAATTTTTCTTTCCCCTGTCAATAATGTTTATGAGAATATTAAACCTGCAGGAGATAGACAAAGATGTACCATTTTCTTACAGATAGTAATCAAGATTTATAACCCTTTTAGAATTTAATTGACAATAATGCATGCAACAGTTCATTTTCAAGATATACCACGTGTGATTCTTAGAAACACGTTTTATCATTGTTATCTTATCTTATTTTTTATAAAAGCGGAAGAGACTATAAGATAAGATTGTTTAAGTGACATGTTTTTAGGATGATAATGAATTCAAGAACCCTTTCTTGCAGAATAAAAACTGATAAGCATACGATGATGTGTGTGCAGGGTGCAAATAAAGAAACATACTTGCAGATTTTATCTTTTTAGATATTTCTATGATATCGTAAAGTTATCAGACGCGGTTTAGAGGTAATAATATCATTCTTTTGATACTTGAAAGTTGTTTATAGAATTGCAAGAAGAAAGAAAATGTGTAAATAAAAAAACATATTTTGAACGAATAAAAAAGCAATCTAAAGCAAAAATTGGGGTCATTTGATGTTGGAAAAGGGTAATAGTGAGTTATTATTTCGCTTGCACTTTGAATACAAGTATTTTGCATTTAATGATTTTTAATTAATTAATCAAAAGGTATTATATTTCAATGGTTATTCTAAAGCAATATTAAGGCAATACCGACGAGATATATTCAAATGAAAAAGAAATTTTAACAGTTTATAAAACAATTTAGTTACTTTTCAAGAATACATACATTTAATTTTTGTCCTATTCAGTAAAAGAAGGCAACTTTTAGGGCCAAAATCTATACTTTTGAAATAAATTTCCCTGCTGTTTCTTTGCTGGTGATTAGGAATGGATTACAAATTAGACAATCTCTGAATATATGTAATGATCGATAAAACGTAAAACTTCGTGTTGAATATTTGTAAGTACTCATTCATCACTTTGAGATTCCTGCGTGTGTGGTTCATATTTCATGATTATATTATTAAATGATTCTGGGAAATATATAAATTGAATTGTATTATTTTGATTTTTTTAGAAAGAAACCTCGGTTTGTCTGTCTAAAACTGTCGAATCGTGTCAGTTTTAAAGAAGATAGGATCATTCTAGAGTAATGACTTGATAAAATTAAAAAGTAATGATAGACTTGAATCAATCTGTTGAAAATGAAGCAACACTTTTTGCAACATCTCCAACGACTACTAATAACTCCAAGAGGTCCAAAACCCTAAAAAAACACAAGATTTGAATTTCTAACATATCATCAACGGAAAGAAATGCAAAAGATAATGAGTGATATACTTGTAAATGAATTGAAAATTGCATTTTGTGTTATTCATAGTCCGATATGAGTAAAAAGCGTTTAAACGCATATATTTTGGATCATTTTTCAAAATTAGAATTATCACTCTGAAAAAACGGACTGAGCAAATGATCTGAAACTTTGCAAACAAGGTATTGGTCTAGACTTTCATCAAATGGTGTATATAAAGTTAGTTCCTTTTTCCTAATTCCTTATTCAAAACAAACAGGGGACTTACTTTATATACATCATCAAATGGGACATAAATCTTGAATTAAAAAATTTCTAATCCCTTATGTGACTTATGTCAAAAGATCTCAGCGGAGTTCCTTTAACCGCTCCAGAAATATCGGTGAACACGACAGTCTTGTTGCGTTTGATGCCATTTTAGCTCATTTAGGGACAATTCGGTCGATGGAATCCAATGTTGTATAATTCTTGAATGTATGTTTATATTTACATATGCTTCAGTTAAAAAGAAAAAAAATATACCGTCGACACCTCTAAGCACGAACTTAATGTCTGGGTATAACTATAAAGTAATACTGCGGCGTTGCGGTGATCATGGAACCTGCATTTTATTTTTAATATAATTCCGTGAAAAGCGGCGGCGTATAGTCCCGAATAAAAAGATGTGCTGTGGAAACAATTAACGGGACTAAATAAAAATGTGATTGTTTTTTTCATTAATGTCTAGAAGTCCTGCATCACAGATAGCTGTCAAAAAGGGAGATAACTGGAGAATGTTTGCTTGACTTCATGCAAGTTGTTCTCATTTGAAACTTCCATTTAGAAAACAGATATAAAAGATTGAATCGAAATCTTAACTGCAAACTTGTAAATGCTGCAGCAGCCTTGGTATTTGATTCAACCTGTTCATTTAACGGCACTGGTAAATGTAATCTACCATTCACACCCACCTACTAGCACCGAATAAATAGGAACTCAAAATTTAAACATGAATATGGTATTTATATCATTTTATCTAGAAACCAACCATAGTATATCAAGAAACTCTCAGAGGAAGTCTTTTTATATTTGAAAGAGCTTGTTAACAGTCATGTTATCAATGAAATTCAAGTCTGAAAAATTTAAACAAGTATACGATTTTGCGATATACTTTAAACATTTAAACTCGTATCAACAAGATGCACAGTGTGTTAATTTAATATTAACACTTTTAAAGTAAGAATTCTTAAGTTTGTAGATAATAACAATGATGTCAAACAAAGTAGAAAAACCTTAAAGTACTAACAACTACTAATTTAATGTTCTATCATAAAAGAGTAAATATTACAACAAATGTTAATTTTGCAATGAAATGCACATTAAGCCTCAGAAAAGAATAATTTGTCTTTCTTTTTTCTTAGGAAAGGCAAACACTTGCTGAATAATGTCCTTTTTTCTTAGGAAAGGCAAACACTTGCTTAATAATGTTCTTTTTTTTCTTATGAAAGGCAAACACTTGGTTAATAATGTTGATAGTGTTGTAATAATGGATTTAGAACTTGTAAGATGCTTATCACCAGAGGAAAATAGTGCAAAATGTGAAATTATTTGTGATAAAGGTTGCAAAATGTAAACGAAGTGATAGTTTGACTTCCGTACAAAATATCAAGTCATTGTTACTGTATTAATAGCAAAAAAAGAAAAGAAGAAAAAGATGTTGGTCAATGAGAAACATTTTGTTTTGGAAACTTAAACAAACATTAAGAATAAATCTCTTTTTTCTTTTCTTTGTTTTAAATAAAAAGATTATTGTTGAGGAATCATGCGCCTGTATAATCTAAATAAAGTACGTACGAAGAACTAAATGATGTAGAATAATAGTGAGTAAAGAGTATATATGTTACATGGCATAAAATGAAACAGGAAATAAAACATGGATTTTTGAGTTAACGACAAGAACAGCCGTTCCTCCTATACTTAGAGGGTGAATAAAAACGTGAAATGAATGGATGAGGTAAGAGCTTTCATTGATAGGTAAATTAGTCAGTAGGTGGAGGCTGTTTGTGAAATGTGTATTTCATATTCAAACAGATTCGCATAGGGGTAAAATGTTATCTTATTGTTTCAAAGTTTGTTGAGTTACTGTTTGTCGGATTAAAGGGGCAAACACAAAATAAAATTGGAAAGTATGAAACAGACGTTGCTTGTTAATTCGGAATTTTTTAGTTAACTAGACCCAGCTAGAGATGAATGATAGTTTCATGTGAACAAAAACAAAGTTACAACTTACAATATATATATCAATCACATTTTAGTGGTAAAACAATGTAAAGAAACGAATTCGGGAACTAGATTAAAGTTTCATAAAAATCGCTGAAGTGCTTATATTTAAATTTCATAGCAGGAATTCAAATAGCTTTTTATGATAAATGTAGCAGAAACCAGCAAGCCAGAATTTGAGATAACATCTCGAGAACTTCTTTAACTTTAAACCTGTAGAAATATTTTTGTAAAATAATTAAATTAATCACTAGGTGGCGCTGCTTTGACGTAAAATTACAGGAAAGAAGAGGGCTTATCACAGACATGCAAATCTTTCCTCACTTAAAACGCTGAGCGCGATACGTTTAACAGCCGAAAATGTGATAACAAGCAAAATGAAAAAGTATATATTAAACATGAATCTAGAATAGGCATGACTGTAAATTTGTGACAATGTATTCAACAATACCCAAAAATTGGAGGAATGATTTTGGATTAAACGTGACAGTTCAGGAATTGAACGATGTGCTCGTGCACCTTCATATACCAGCTATTATTTTCATAGCTATTTTGATGGTAGTAGGAGTATTCGGAAATATTCTAGTTCTTTATATATACACAACAAAATATCAACCGTCAACTTACAGAAGTTTTATTCTGTGGTTAGGATGGATAGACCTTATAGCTTGCAGTGTCGGCATGCCATTGTTAATTGTTAGTATGCTTTATCCATATATGTTTCCCTCGGAAGAAGCGTGCAAGACTTTACGATTTCTGCACGTATTTTTCGTGGTCAGTTCAGCTTTTATTGTGATTGCTATAGCAATAGAAAGACATCGACGAATATGCAACCCGTTCTCAAGGGAAATGACGCCAAATAAGATAACGTTGATGTGTTTAGTAGCCACCATATTAGGAAGCTTAGTGGCGATCCCGGCGATATTTGTATATGGTGATGCTGCAGTTGAGACTGGTGTAAGGAATATCACTGGAATTGAGTGCTTTATTGATCCCGATTTCAAACGATCTACTTTGCCGAAAGGATATTTTATGTTTCAACTTCTGTTAAGTGTTGTATCGATGATTATAATGGGAATATTTTACTTCCGGATCGGGACAAAGATCTGGTTACACCATCAGTTTATCAGAGATAACACCTACAACCGACAGAACTCGTCAGACGAAAGTAAAGGTCAGTCATTTTAGAAACCCTTTGATGTTTCTATTTCTATTGAGTCATGCGTAAACTAATTAATTCATATTGACTGTTATAAAAACTTCATTTAAAAAACTCTCCCCGTTACCTACGCAGTAAGTGCTTTGGCATATTTTGCAAGTTGATCCAAGTTAAATGTTATTTCTACGGGAGATTTTTGCTATAAGCCAGTTAAATCCACTCCATGAACCAGTCGATAATACTTTTACTATTTTGAATAAAGCACCAACCTAAAGGCATTCTGCTTTACTAGCAAAGAAATTACGAAAACAGACGATGCATTTTAATGGTTTAAACGCACGATTTAACATTGTTTTTGTAATTATTTGGCTTTTTATCAATGCTGTATTTCATTGAGAAATAACATTTTGTGTTTAAAACAAATTCATTAACTATGTTCTTCTTCAATATAACTTGAAAAAAGGAAATGACCTGCTAGGCAGAAGATGTTAAAAAATATTTTGAATATATACAATATCTGTGTCACTAGTGCTTAAAGTTGGTCAGTTCGATTTGCATTGGTGATTTGTTTGCCAAACTATTACGCAATTTGATGAATATCTGTACCAATAATTTGTGTGTACATAATTTGTTTTTATTTTATATTTAAGTGCCACAGCTGATCTATATAATATTTTCAAATTCGACGGTTATGATTTTGTTTTATTTTTATAGAACTTCTGGAAAACGGGCGAACCCCTTCTATTTAATAAACACAATTATTAGAATTTCGGTGCGGATATAATACTGAAATAATTTATTTAATGTCTTAAGATATATCACATGTTCTTGTCCGTTTTAAAAATCCTAGTTGTCAGTAATATTTGTATAGTTTTTCTACTTTAATAAAAAGGTATCGACTCATTAAATGTTTCAGTATCTTACACCGCTAGTTACAAATTGTATACAGTTTAAGCCGATACAAGGGGACTTAAGAGATGTTGTACTTACAATAATCTCCCATAAACAGTCTGAAATTTAAGCCTTTCTGATCAATCCCGAATCAGAGTTTTCTATCGTTCCTCACATTTAACATCTCTGCTATGATTTAACATCTTTGCTATGATTTAACATCTCTATTATGGGCCCAATCACAAGAATCTTGTAAAAACGGAACAACAAAAAAAATCTGGAAACAAAGTGATCCTGCACAACAAAATAACATGAAAATTGCAGACTAGGTTTGATTGAGTCTGTTCATGAGTGATAATAAGTAAGTGAAATATCCCTTACGCCCCTTAGCACCTCAATTCTCAACACTTAATAATGATAATAGCTCCAATTAATTACTTAACAACTTATTGGACCTTGATTTTTAAACATCACAGGTGCATTGCTCTTGGCCTGTAGATAACCCTATTGATTCTGGGATCAGTGGGATCAAAGGTGAAGGTCATATTGACCGTATAGGTAAAAATTGGTTTCCGATCATTTATTTGACAACCCATGGGTCATTGTCCCACAAACTGCAAAGATACATTGATCATGGCCAGTAGATGACCCCTATTGATTTTGATGCCAAAGGGTTAAAGATTAAGGTCACATTGGCCTTATATGTCAAAACAGTTTCCTATCAATAAGTCGACAACCCATTAACCCTTGATCTTCAATATTCATAGATGTATTGCTTTTGCTCTGAAGATGACCTCAATAGATTTTTATGGTCAAGGGGTCAGAGGGCATGTCACATTGACCATATAGGTGTAAAACGTTTCTGTCAATATCTAACAACTCGTTGGCCTGTTCAATCTTCACAGACGCTTGGTCTTGGTCAGTAGATAACGCCTTTTGATTTAAGGGTCAAAGGTCAACGTCACATTGATATTGTACGTAAAAATGGTTTCCGACCAATAAATCTACAACTCAACTTGCCTTGGTTGATATTTTTGTTAAACTAAAAATGCTTTTGGTATACACATTTCAATGGCTAATGTATTATCTAACAAATTGATTGCCTTTAAGGAGGCCTGCATGATTCAAAAAAATTATGCATGTATTATTTGGTAAGATTTGTTATAACTTTGTCATAAAATTGGTGCACACAACCTTTACGGTCACAATGACCTAGTGACTAGTCATGACCAGTATAAAAATCCTTTATGACTTTTTGGTCACTAGGTCAAAAGTCAGTCACAATAACCTGGCCACATGACTAATTGGCTGCCGATATGGGGCATACGAGTTTTACAGACATATCTTGTTGACTATCAAATCCAAGTTCTGTGTAAATGAAAGATCAGTTACAAACTTGCATTCCATCTTGATAATTGCCTTAAGCTTTGTTTTATTTGAAATTGACTCTCAAATAATATCTGAATACTTTGCTGTTTTTAATCTCTGTCGTTTGAATTATAGAAAAAGCAAAACAGACGATTTGTGAGGCTAATAGAAAATACAATATCTCAAACAAGCAGGACAATATGTCATCTGAAGTATGCAAAACCATTTCCACGCAGTCAACATTTACAAGCAGTTCAGACGGCGGCATGGAAGAAGAAAAAGTTTTAGACAAACCTGGAACGCGTAAAGTTGTTACTATTAAAGAAAAATCTCGCTCTAATTCACCTGATCCACGCCGACAATCGGGAGAATCGAAACCACAACTTGAACAAATGAAGAGGAAGTCAAGTCAGATTGAATGCACAAAAAGTGATGGACCAAACTCAAGAACAAAACAAGTTACATTAATGCTGTTCATTATAACTGTTGTGTTTATTTTATCTTTCATACCACATTTAGTGCTTATGGTCATTAACGCGATGAATTCAAAGTTCGTAAAAGACATGTCTCCAGTGGGAATCGCCTTCTATAATATATTCTTACGTTCTTTTGTGATAAACAATATGGCAAACCCTATCATTTATGGATTTTGTGATAAGAAGTTCCGCACTGAGTGTTCAAACCTAGGATGGGAGATAATAACATTTTGTAGATGCTAAAATATTACCCTTTACGTTGCTGACTGATAATGTATATTCGAAAACGATGTCAAGTAGTTTTTGTTGTATTATATAAATAAGGATAAGGCGTTTGATAACATATATTAATATAAATTTGAAAGCATTTACTGTGATTTCTTGCTTGGCATAACAGTAACTATACGCCCCCTTCGCAGCTCACTGAATAAACTGGGCTACTTCAGACACTGGGCGATAGCGAAACATTCGACCAGTGCGCAGGAGAGTATCGAGTAACAGTTACATTGTCAAACACAGAGTTGCCTTTTTTACAGTTAACACTGTATCAATTATATAAATTTTTGGCAGTGAAATGTGCCTTTAAAATGTGAACACATATACGTTTGTGTATATAAGAATGAGTTCTGAAATAACTTTATTTAGTTATTATAGTATTTATAACGCTGCTGTGATATAGATGAGATTTTTAAGACTAGATTTGTGTGATTTTTGTTTTATCTTCTATATGACCGGTGTCACCTATTTTAGTATTTTATGTTCTTAATGAATGTCTAAAACGTTACTTAATAAATGGCAATAAACATTTTTTGTCTGTCTGTATATATGTATGCTACAAATATTTAAGAAAACATACTTTTCAGATTATTGCAGAGTAACGTATTAACTAATTTCTTAAATATTTACAAATGCGTACATGAGAAGAAAATGATATTTTATTTTGTCCTCATTCCACTGCCTTGCATTAAGTCATACACGTTTTTAATAGCATTACATACTCAAGTGTAATAAGATATCAATTAATTATATTCGTACATTAGACATACGTATATTTGCGTACCCGAGGAATATACTATTATTGAAACATTTTACAATAAGCCCTATCAAACATTATCTTCAACAATTTCAATTTTGCTATGTTGCACCACCTTTTTGATTTCCTTTCAAAGCGTATGTTACAGTTCTCGCTATATTGTACTTATAAACGTGCTGTTTGCAAATCTGGTGGCATCTTCGATATTGAAAAAGAAAGCTTAAATTTAATTTATGAAATCTTAAACAAAATTGGAAAATATCAAATTGGAAGAAAACTAATGGAGAAACTTTATATATCTAGATTTGTTTCGGGTTTTTCTCCCATCAATATTTATGCCAGCAGTTGAGTTATTAATCTAATATTGACTTTATAAGATCTTTACTCTACTGTACGCTTGGATTTCATTAATGTGTCCGTCAAATGCTGATAGGATTGTTATGCCGCATATTTGTGATATACATGTAGTTTATTTGAAATATAATTATTTTTGTCAACAATTTCATTGATATTACCATGAGGTCAATAGATTTACTCGGGAATTTAGGTTTTTTCTCAGCTAATCCGGGGTAACAAACACACTTTTAAGTGACAGCTACGAAAATAAGCACCACAGATAGTATATACATGCATATAATTATTAATTGATGTAAAAAAAGTTCTGCATTGTATTCTCTTATAAGTACGATTAATGGATATAGAAACGTTGGATATATAATCGATTAAAGAAGTAGTTTTCGTCTTTTGATTACAACAGCATGTTTTTAAGCGTACGTTCATTATTAGGTATCGTTTATTACTTAATCACTATATTTTTCAAACATAAAAGTAGATAAACAGTTGTCTTTAATGATCTTTTAATTTTGTTTTGCATGAAGGCTAATACAATACTTTTACATTCTAATATACAGGTTGTAACAGATATTAAAATCATGTAATAGATAACAGATATTGTTTATCAAATATAAGATTTATGGCTTTAAATACATATGAGCCGCGTCACGACAAAACCAACAGAGTGCGTTTGCGACCAGCATGGATCCAGACCAGCCTGCGCATCCGCGCAGTCTGATCAGGTTCCATGCTGTTCGCTATCAGTTTCTCTACTTGTAATAGGGTTTGTAAGCGAACAGCATGGATCCTGATCAGACTGCGCGGAGGCGCAGGCTGGTCTGGATCCATGCTGGTCGCAAACCCAATATGTTGGTTTTGTCGTGACGCGGCTCATATGAGTTTTATAATGAATTGGTTGAAGAAAATGTTTTATTATTTTTAATCTGAATTAAGTGATTTAGTAATAACTGACATAGAATTCGACAACACTGGATTAGCAATAATATACGCACATGTTCTGAAATGCGCTTGCACATTTTCTACAAAGCAAACTCTATAAAGAAAAATAAAGTGTTATTAATATACCGTGTAAGGTGATAATTTTACAAATAAATATTCAATTAAAAAGGACATGTAAAACAATAATCATTAGTATATTTCACAGGAACAAAATAGCAAGCTTATGAAATTTTAGTATTTCATGAAAATTAATAATCCTTTATCTATATTCAGTAACAATACTAAACATAATGTATTTCTTTTTTATTTACATTTTATCAATAAGGCAGCCTGTATAGCCTTGCAACCTGAGCAATTTGTATACTGCTCAATGTTTTTTCATTCATAATAAAATTAATTAAACTTCATATGATTTTTTCCAAATTCAAAACGGCAAATTAAGTAGGCTATGGGCTTATTAAGTTATGCTTTTGAAATAATAAAAATTGGAATCCCTAAATAACGCCAAAAAGGCAAAGTTGTAAATATTGCAGGCTCGGTTTGATTAAGTCTGTTAATGGACGGTGGGAATAGTTGAATCTAACGTCCATGCCCCCACCACCCAGCACCGGTTTTAACAGAATTCAACATTTACACGTGGAAATGACGATATTTTAAACTCAGATACATCCGTATTGGACATGATAACTGTGGTCCTTACATGTTAATTACTTTAACGATACATGCCACATAATTTTGAATGTGACTTAAACAACAACATTTGGATGGCGTTAGTTTGCAGGTTAAACAAAGAAAGTCAAAGTGACAATATATATGAAATCATTTCATTTTCTAGGATTCATTGAAGTCATGAACCGATCAAAAGAACGAATATCTTTTCTCAAAGTCTTTCAGTATATAATGAGATATCCCCCAAAATGTACAACATGTTGTTTTGTTTTACTGACACAACGATCAACAACATTGACTTGTATTACATTAGGCAGTTTATTCAAAAATCTTATTAAATAACAAGTCTGTATCCAAGTTAAGATTAAAAATATTTTTGAACTAATTCATACAATGATGTACATGTAAGATACAGGTCTAAACAAACGTTATAATAAATATAATACCAAAACTGTAATGCAAGTGTTGTATGCGGGAATAGATGTGAAAACATAAGCATCTACAGTGTAAATTCTGAATTCTGTAACTTTTAAAATCCGGAAACTTCTGAAATCTAAAAATCTCTAAATTTCTCCTGTTTTCTATGAAATGGATACTTCTGAATTACGAAACTTCTTAATTCTGAATTCCGAACGATTTTCTGGTAAAATTTTGGTTATATCAATTCAAATTTACTTATCAGAATCACAACTTGTCAAGCATGTCAAACATTTGATTGAAGTATGATGTGATGAAAAGAAGAAAAAAAATTACAGGTTAAAAGCAGGTACTGAATGAAATATGCTAAAGGAAAAATTTTGATATGTAACATTATGCTATTGTATCAACGAATTCAGTAATAGGTGATAATGAAATTTAAACTATTTAAAAAGTCCTATAATTTTGATTTGTAATGAATGAAATCAGCTTCATATATTTCTTGATCATGTTCTTAAACAATAGAAGGTTAATGTTTCTACTTGTTCAGATAATTCTGAACTTCCGAATTCCGTAAACTTCCTAATTCCGAACTTTTTGGCATGTCCCACAGGTGCTCGGTTTTCAGAAGTTACACTGTATATGGAATGGAACTTTGATAAATAATGGATATGACATTTCATCTTTCAGACATAATTATCCTGTTGCATATTGAACATGTACTGATAACATTAAATGAATATGGTGGTGTCCTATTTTTGGCATTATTTGCAAAACTTTAGGATACACGTGTAACAAAGACGTATATTATACAAATTTTAAACATAGTTAAGCATAGTTAAGTTATTATTTTTATCGGATTACAAAACATTTGATAGTGTTATTCGTACTACTTTGAATATAATCATTTGGGAAAAGTCAGGAAAAAAATCAAGTTAAGAGACAACATTAAATTGTTTATATTTTGATTTAAAGATCCGAACAGATTCGAATCTGAACGAGCTAAATGTGGAATAAAAACCCCCAAAAGGAATAAAATACAGATGTTGTTCATGATAATAAAAGAAGGAAACTTAAAAGATTGATAAACAAACAAACAAGAAAGTTAAAAAAAAACGTCTGCTAGGTTTGATCGGTTCTTTTAATTGACGGTTTTTGGAAGTGTTTTCTATTATTAACAGCAACTAGCACCAGCTTAATCGTACAAAAGGACAAACCCTTTTAATGTAAAACCATGTTATTTTAAAAAGAAATATTCACTGGAAAATGTATCAATATACGCTTTTGACTGAAGAATTTAAGCAAACTTAAACAAATTATTCTAATGTCTGTATGTATGGAAATGTTAGACTTACCTATTTTTAAATTGTTTGTTCAAGATTGCTATTGAGGACTTTTTTCTTGATTATATTCTTAATCAATTGCATTAATAAGCTGTCTGTTCTCTTTCCGGGTACAGGTAGTGTTGCTGCTGAAAGGCGATTATCGTACATTTGTAAAATGTTTACGACGGTTCCAAAACGTTTAATGGTGGGATTAGGACCAAATGTGACAATTGAAGACTTGAACAATATTCTGGTTGAGTTACATTATCCAGCAATTATTTTTATAGCTGTTTTAATAGTCGTTGGTGTCGTTGGCAATGTCTTTATACTTTACGTTTACACAACGAAGTACCCACAATCATCCTACAGAAGTTTCATTTTGTGGTTAGGATGGATAGACCTTGTAGCTTGCAGTGTCGGTATGCCATTGTTAATAGTCAGTATGCTTTACCCGTATATGTTTCCCTCGGAAGCAGCTTGTAAGACGTTGCGTTTTCTGCACGTTTTTCTCGTGGTCAGTTCTGCTTTCATTGTGGTTGTTATTGCATTAGAACGACATCGTAGAATTTGTAAAAGTTTTTCGTTGGAAATAACTCCTGTTAGAATAAGAATGCTGTGTAGTATAGCCTCCATGCTAGGCTGTTTAGTCGCCATTCCGGCGATATTTATATACGGTGATGCCAGCGTAGACACTGGTATTCATAACATTACAGGAATAGAGTGCTTTATCGATCAAGATTATGAACATTCCTTCTTACCTAAAGGGTATTTTATGTTTCAACTATTACTAACAATAATATGTGTTGTGGTAATTGGTATATTGTATTTTCGGATAGGGATTGAAATCTTCAAACATCATCAGTTTATTAGAGAAAATACCTACAATGGACAATATTCCTGTGAAGAAAAAAGTGGTAAGTATGACACTAATTTATTATTAATTTCTTCATCTAGAGTATTAACCATTATTATTATTATTATTATTATTATTATTATTTTTATTATTATTATTATTATTATTATTATTATTGAGAATGACTAAACACGTTTATATTCAAATGCCGCATGTT